CCCCCCACCCCCCACCCCCCACCCATCCTCCCTTAAACCCACTCCCACCCCCACCCCCCACCCCCCACCCCCCACCCATCCTCCCTTAAACCCACTCCCACCCCCACCCCCCACCCCCCACCCATCCTCCCTTAAACCCACTCCCACCCCCACCCCCCACCCATCCTCCCTTAAACCCACTCCCACCCCCACCCCCACCCCCCACCCCCCACCCATCCTCCCTTAAACCCACTCCCACCCCCACCCCCCACCCCCACCCCCCACCCCCCACCCCCACCCCCCACCCCCCACCCCCCACCCATCCTCCCTTAAACCCACTCCCACCCCCACCCCCCACCCCCCACCCCCCACCCCCCACCCCCCACCCATCCTCCCTTAAACCCACTCCCACCCCCACCCCCCACCCCCCACCCCCCACCCCCCACCCCCCACCCCCCACCCCCCACCCCCCACCCCCCACCCCCCACCCCCCACCCCCCACCCCCCACCCCCACCCCCCACCCCCACCCCCCACCCCCCACCCCCCACCCCCCACCCCCCACCCCCCACCCATCCTCCCTTAAACCCCACCCTCACCCCCACCCCCCACCCATCCTCCCTTAAACCCACTCCCACCCCCACCCCCCACCCATCCTCCCTTAAACCCACTCCCACCCCCACCCCCCACCCATCCTCCCTTAAACCCACTCCCACCCCCACCCCCCACCCCCCACCCCCCACCCATCCTCCCTTAAACCCACTCCCACCCCCACCCCCCACCCCCCACCCATCCTCCCTTAAACCCACTCCCACCCCCACCCCCACCCCCCACCCCCCACCCCCCACCCCCCACCCCCCACCCCCCACCCCCCACCCCCCACCCCCCACCCATCCTCCCTTAAACCCACTCCCACCCCCACCCCCCACCCCCCACCCCCCACCCCCCACCCCCCACCCCCCACCCCCCACCCATCCTCCCTTAAACCCCACACCCACACGCCCTTATCCCCACCCCTACCCTCTTGCCCCCATCCTTACCCCTACCCCAACACCCCCACCCCCACCCCCCACCCCCCACCCCCCACCCATCCTCCCTTAAACCCACTCCCACCCCCACCCCCCACCCCCCACCCCCCACCCCCCACCCCCCACCCCCCACCCATCCTCCCTTAAACCCACTCCCACCCCCACCCCCACCCCCCACCCCCACCCCCCACCCCCCACCCCCCACCCCCCACCCCCCACCCCCCACCCCCCACCCCCCACCCCCCACCCCCCACCCCCACCCCCCACCCCCCACCCATCCTCCCTTAAACCCCACCCTCACCCCCACCCCCACCCCCCACCCCCCACCCATCCTCCCTTAAACCCACTCCCACCCCCACCCCCCACCCATCCTCCCTTAAACCCCACCCTCACCCCCACCCCCCACCCATCCTCCCTTAAATCAGTATGGGCTTCCAAAGTATATTTGTCATTGTTGATGTACGATTATCTTCATATGCGAAAATGCCGTAGACAGGCAATTTTTGTCAAAGACAAAGTTTACACAAGATATTTCTGCATCGAATATGATAGAAGACCATTTTGATTTATTGTCAAGCGTTAATTTGATCGTTTCTTATATTATTATTTCTCACGTCCGCCAGGGATGTCTTTAATTTGCTCTTATGCAATTTTTTTTTGTTGAAATTATTTCGCTTTGGAAGTAATTAGAAAAGGTTCGGGGCCTCTTTTGACAAATTAATTGAGCCGTCTTCTACTTTCCTATTGCTGTATTTTATTTTAAAAATACAAATAGCGATGCCTGCCTTCACAACTGATGCAATGACAATAAGCGTAGGGACGCCACATCATATTTATACTTAATGTGTAATATTACCATTGTGATATAAGCAAGCTTTATTGTCATATTTACCTTACCGTCTTATTACAATATATCATCAAAATAGGGTTTATGACGTTATAAATGTGTGTTCTATAACCAGCATCAACTTTGATATGTGGCAACGTGGGCAAATCATATACCTTTCTTTGTCTAAGAACAAATTTCGGAATCTGAGACCTTTCGTGAATGCCGCTCCGAATCATTATATCATTTAGAATTAAAAAGAAAATCGAATACATGACGACTTACCATAACCCCGAAAATAACATTGTGAGCTTCGTTCCCTCTCCAGGTCGTCTCGTATTCACACAGCTCTCCATACACTCTAAATCCTGCTTGTTCTGAGCCTGAGGAAAGAGGATGTTAATTCAATAACATTATATTATATCGATATAACATAGTACATTTTTATTCAGTTAAATCGTATGATGTAATGTAGAAATATATTGATTAAGTTTGTTTTATGTCAATCTTGTGTACAGAGAGAATAGCATAAGGCATTGAACTCTTGAGTTCTATAGCTGGAATATAGATAAAGTTGAATAGATAGACGATAACACAAATAAAACACAAGAGCTAATGCTAACCCGAACGAACATTCTCTCCACATTTGTCTTACATAACATCCTAATCCAGGCACCAATGATATCAACAGTTGCGCAATTGTAGTAGTACAATTACCCATTTCATTGCACACCTACAGTAACGAGCAATCAGTGTAATATAAACTGTGCATGCGCGTGTGTGTGTGTGTGGATAGAGAGATAAAAACATTAAATGATGGATAATGAGATAGATAAGGAGACATAGAGAGAGAGAGAGAGATAAGTAGATAGAGGGATAGAGAGATGGAGAGATATAGATGCAGAGACAAATAGATGGTCAGATATATACATACATACATTACATGCATACATACATAAATGTATAAATATATACAAAAAGTAGGTAAATAGATAGAGGGACAGATAGATAGATAGACAGATTGGTAGGTAGATTGATAGATAGATAGATAAATAGATAGATAGGCAGATGAACAGAAAAAAAACAGATACGAAAATAGATTGACTGACTGAAAGATTAACAGGTGAAGGGATACACAAACAGACATACAGACGGATAGATTGACAAATAGGCATATAGATAAACAGACAGATAGACATAAATAGAAATAGACCGAAGCATAGATAGGTAGATAGATAGGTAGGCAGATAGATAGATGGATGGGTGGATAGATAGATTAACCTATTAAAAAACAGATAGATAGGCAGGTAGACAGATAAGCAGATAGACAAATAGACAAATAGAGAGAAGAAAGCCACGGAACCCTACCCGCAACCACATTCCCGTGAAGCACCGTGCCCGAGGCTTCCTCCAGGTCGAAGCCAGCGTGCCAGTCCCGGTTCTGGGGTTCCCAGCGGCCGTCGTACGTCCCCGGGAACAGCATGACCGACACTAAGTTGTTCCTGAAGATGTTGCCTCTCCCTTGATCCTTGATGCCTGGCGGGGAGGGGGGAAGGGGGGGAGGAGGAGAGTTAGATGGTGAGGGTTTTTTGTTTTGTTTGTGCGGTTTTATTGGTTATTTGTTTTTTTCTTTCTTACATTGTTTGATTAAAGGGGATAGCATTCGCATCGGTAATTTTACCCTCAGATAGATCGTTGAATGGGTAGGCACATTGATGGACACTAGACAAGCGATTTATCAGTCATGAAAAAGACAATTAGCTTGCAAAAAAATATGAATAATAATAAAAAAAACGTACTTGAGCCTACGGTCTGGTACACAACACTGTCCTCCACCGCTACGCCACTGGACGCAAAAATCCCGATGGCCGTGTTATAATTCGTGTTAAAACTGCACTGTCTCACGTAGCTGAAAGACCCACGAGACCCGAGACCGAGGAAGACCAGCGAAAACCTCGGGTCCTGCTGTCCTGTGAATCCCTCCTGGCCCATGTGTTTCCACTCCACTCCGGATAATTGTGCTTGTCCTGCGAGGAGAGAAAAAAAGGGAGGATGAGGATAAATGAAGGAGAAAAGAGACGAAAGATTGAAAGCACGAGGCAGAACCCGTATGGACAACGTTATGAAGCCATTGGGGAGTATGAGAGTGTGAATCACAATGCTACAACAAATTAATTAACATACGAATTCATAGAACATGGGTTAATGAAAATATAAACAACGCAGCATTAACCGCAATATCACATATAGATCGACTAAATTCTAAATATAACATAAATCATTAATAAAAGACCCTATGGTAAAAATATAACGCAACAATTAATCCCATTTAACCACAGTATCACACAAACACATAAACAAACAACACACAGACAAATAACACCAACAAACAAACAAACAAGATACAGATAAACAATAACCAAACAAAATACAGAAAAACAACAACCAAACAAAATACAGACTAACGACACCCCAACCAAAAAAATACAAACAAACGAATGTCGAAATAAAAGACACAAACAACACCAACCACTAAATCAAGTCAGAACTGCCTATGGTTTAGTACATTAACACACACAACAGGACAAAGGCAAACACTTACCTCGATACACTACTCCATCGGCCGTGAGCTCCGCCACCCTCACGCTGCCGCCGAAGTGCTTCTCGCTCGCCACGACCTCGCCCTCGATCACGATGTTGCGGGTAAGTACGCCCACCTCGCCCTTGAGGTCATACTCCAAGCTCCCGTCGGTCGCGGTGTGTCGTTCACCTGTTTGTGGAAGTAAGATGTATTGTCATTAGTGCTATTATTATTATTATTATTATTATTATTATTATTATTATTATTATTATTATTATTATTATTATCATTATCATTATTATCATTATTGTTATCATTATCATTATTATTATCATCACTATTATTATCATCACTATTATTATCATCATTATCATTATTATCATTATTACTATTATTATCATTAGTAGTAGTAATAGTTGTTGTCGTATCATCATTATTATTATTGTTATCAGTAGATGCAATAATCTTAGTATCAGTATTAGGGAGGAGAGATTTATCATTATAAATGTAAGTGTGGCAAGTCATATACACAATCTACGTACCCAGATGTTGGTGGGTGAGTGGTGAGTCAAGGGTGAGTACAGCCCC